TGTTTGGGTTTCATATTGTAAGACTCTCAGTAATGAGACTAAAGCTAAAGTTGATATACTACAAAATGCAGGATTGCGTGTATGTAATTATCAAGAAGTTGAAGGAGATTTAGCTATATGTAATTGGGATGTTATTATTGTTCAGGCTGAGAGTACACACCGTCTTTCCCTTTTTGGGGGTCGTTCTTATGTAGTTATTTTAGATGAAGTAAATGCTATTATGCGTCAAATGAATAGTGGAGTTCATGCGCGTGAATCGGAAAATGCTATGCGAGATTTGTTGAAGTCAGCTGTTCATGTTCTAGCCATGGATGCTTTTGGAAATGAATCGACTTTAAACTTCTTAAGACAATATCGAGGTGAAGATATACGAGTTTTTGATAATAAGTATCAGCCACATAAAGGTAAGTCTGTAAAAATTCTTTATGATCCAGACAAAGGAGCAGAGGCTATACGTAGAGGTCTTAAGATGCTTGAAGAAGGTAAGCGGGTTGCCTTTTCAGTTACTGCATGCAAAAAAGCTAGAGCTATAGCTATTCAAGCTTCTAAGTTATTAAAACCAGATGGCTCCCACGTTTTATCACGAGTTTATTTTGGTCAAATGGATGGAAAACAGCGTCAAGAAGATTTTGCTGATATCAATGCTACTTGGAGTGCTCTCGATTGTGTGGTTTATACAAGTACTGTGGAAGCTGGTGTTTCCTTTGAGATTTCCAATCATTTTGATGCAGTTATAGGAATAAGCAATATTAATACAGGAGTACATGCTGAAGCTTTTGCACAAATGTTTTATCGAGTACGTGATTGTCCATATCATATTATTTCTCTTTATAATAGTAAAAAAACTGGCATTTTCAAAGAACCGAATCGTGATCTCATTCGCGCTGAACTCTCAGCTTTGAGACCTGGAGATTTACCAACTGCTATAAAAGGACATCGTGAATGGGACAAAATTGCTGATTGTTATATTATTGACTCGTCACCAGCAGTTGAAACTTATATTGAGGTTGAATATCAGAAACGCTTATCTGCCAAATATTTTCCTGAAATTCTATGCAGTCTTATTGCTAGTACTGGTGCATCACTTGAATTAATTTCAGCAGAAGATACCGAAAAAGTCAACAGGAATGTAGTTTCTCATACTATTAAGAATGTTGGAAAAAAAATTGAAGGCGCAGATGCAGAATCAATAGCCAGTGCTCCAGATATTAGTCCTGATGAAGCTGAGATTCTTAAACAAAACCTTATGCGTTCTTTTGCTGATAACATGTCTTTACAACGTCATTATTTATGGAAAATATATGCTTCAGGTGATATCGGAGGTATAAATGATATTCGGAATTGGGGTATGAATAATGATGATTGGGTTAAGCTTTGTGACATAAATTTCGTGAAAAGATATAATAATCCTGAACCTTTACAATATTTTAGAAGACTGGCATATTTCAGAAGACAAGGTTCTAATGCAACAAATTCCATAGAAAATCTGGAAGTTAAAGAAGAAATGCAATGGGAAGATTCACACGAATCTATGAATACATCCTCAGTTGATTTACATAAATTTTATTCAGTAAAACAATGGAAAGCGGTACATAATCTTGTCAAATCGATAGGCTTCAGTGATATAGATGATACGAACATTCTTTCTGGTGATGATGTGACAAAAGCTTTCGAACAATCACAGGAAAAAATAGTTAAAATTCGAGCAGATGCATTGTTACTCTTTGGTTTTAAGACCAGAGCTAAAGGAATGCCAGATCTCAATGCTACAATAAAATTTATTAATGCTGTAATGGGTAGTTGGTGTGGTTATACTATTAAGAGTGAGCGAAAGCTTTCAGGGCCAAAAGATCAGCGAGTATGGAAGCGTACTTATTGGATTTATCGTGTACCAGATAATGGAGCTGGTTTTGAAACTATAGAAAGAATAATGGCTATAAAATTAAACAATCCTAATTATCGCCCTACAAATCCAATTCTTCCACCATATAAACCTGAATCAGTCAATGAAACTCAGGAACTTTTTGATTCAATACCCATTACCACTGATATTACCATTTCAAAATCCAGTATTGAGATTTGTGAAGAAAGTTCTTGTAATAATATAGTTGAGAAATCCGTAACAAAATTGCCACAACTGTCTTCTTCGGTATTAACTCAGAGTGAATCAAACGATTCTAAGCAATTTTCAAACATTATCGAAATCAAGAAAGAAATACCTGAATCCTTAATTTCTTTATCTTCAGAATATCTTATTAAAAACGAATCTGATGTAGACACTCTTATCCTTCTTTTACAGCAAAAATTCCAAATGTCTCAGGAAAGGTTAGAACAATGGCGAACCAAGATTGCCTTTGAGTTGCGGGATAACCAAAATTACTGGAAAAAAGAGCGCAAGAGTATGAGTGAGGCGGATTTCTTGGATTATAAGCAGAAGTTTGAAGCTAAAATGAAAGTTCCTACTACTCCATACAAAAAAGAATTAAAAACCCGCTCTTTGGCCCTCATTGAATATGCGTAACTGTTGTTTAAGATAATACAATCTAGTTAAGTAGTAATTTCTGAAGCAGAGAGATTGCTACATGTAACTAGTCATTCATCTCAGGTAAAGGGATTTTTGTCGCCTCTTACAATTAATATGAGAAAAAATTCAAATAAAAAATTAATGCTTCTGATATATAAGGTACGTATTCGATAACCATTTTTGTGTTGCCTAATTTAGGTATCAATAAAAATAATACTTCAAGATATCAAAAAAAGTGATACTCCAAAGTTTTCGAATTAGTGATACCCCAAAGTTTCATTTTATGATTATAAATAGTGTTCACGTTTTTTGATACATGTTTGATAATGATATCCCAAAGTTTTCGATATAGTGATATCCCAAAGTTTTCGATATAGTGTTATCCCAAAGTTTTTGATAGTGTTATCCCAAAGTTTTCGATATAGTGATATCCCAAAGTTTTCAATATAGTGGTATCCCAAAGTTTTTGATATAGTGATATTCCAAAGTTTTCAATATAGTGATATCCTGAAATATATAAAAGTATGATTTAGGTATCGATATAAGCCAGCTAAAGACTGAAAAAAGATGATACCCCAAGGTATAATTATTACAGAAAGATATATAAAATTATGCTTTGGGGTTACATACAAATAGGCATCGAAAAAAAGTGATACCCCAAGGTATAATTATTACAGAAAGATATATAATATATAAAATTATGCTTTGGGGTATCAACGGATATGATAACAATTCGGCACTATGTGCCTCATCCTCGGGTTACCAAATAGGATAACAATTCGGCACTACGTGCCTCATTCTCAGGTTACCAAATAGGATAACAATTCGGCACTACGTGCCTCATCCTTGGGTTACAAATAGGATAACAATTCGGCACTACGTGCCTCATCCTCGCGTTTCCAAATAGGATAACGATTCGGCACTACGTGCCTCATCTTTGACGAGGCAAACGCAAAACGTTCATCACTTGAATGACGAGGCAAACGCAAAACGTTCGACTCTTGAATGACGTGACAAGTGCAATTTGCACAGCATCAATTGGTAGACTATAACTACCCCGAAAAGTGTGTCGTGATTCATT